TAGTAAAAAGCTGTAATTTTGACATTACGAACAGACACTTTAATTTTATTTATTTGTATAGATAGATTATAATTACTGAATATAGGATAGGAGGAAACTGTTTTAACTTTACCATAGTTTTCAATTCAGTTTTATGTTAATTATAGCAAGCGCAGTTAATGATGCTTGGTATCTTTTATGATCTAGCTAAAACAAAATACAAGCATAATAATAAATTAGCAAAGTTTCAAATAAATCTTATCTATGACCCCTCTAAACATATATTCATATTTATTAACACCATAAGCGAACAAATCTTGTATGAATGTACATAGGCATATATGTGATTGGTTCCTCAAAAACAGCTCTAAAGAGTTAGATAAAATTTTGTATGTAAAGAATGTTTTACTTTCAGTATTTATATTTTTTGTGAGTTTATGTAGATAGGTTTGACCCCGAGAAAACTATAATTTATTTTCTAACGTCGATCGAAGTTGTGTATGTATAGTTTATATATACGTATATAAGTGTAGTATATATTTATTTAGGTAAGTAATTAACAAGCAGTATAACAACACATCTGTAACAAGCTGAATTGGTAATGGGCCGGCCATAAAGCTCGAAGGGGAAGAAAGGTAAACGAAGTTATACGTCACCAGATGGAGTGACGATCTGGAAAGTAATGCAGGAAATAGATGGATGCAGCTAACTAAGGACTTTCCGGGGTTCCTTGAAGGAGGCTTATTTTCATCAGTGGACTTATGAAGGGCTGTAATGATGATTATGAGGGAATACGTATGTAGAGAGCATTCTGTATAACGTGCGATGTGATGGCACGTGTTGCTTACAGATTCAGTGGTCGCCACTCAGTAAACTGCAATTCTAGAGCGTGTATTTGTAATGAACAATGAACGCCCCGCCTCTTTGCATGCTCGTCACTCGATTTGGCGTAGATACGTATACGTATTACATTTATTTGAGTTTTCGATAATCCATTACAGCGTATAAAAGTTCATTTCTGAACATAGGCTTCCATATATTGCTTCACAGGTAAAACAATTTCCATAGTTACTTTAATTTTGAGTTGTTATCGTGACTCAGCCCATCTTCCTGTTCCAGTTTCCCTCTGTGACCTATTACGAGACCCACGGGTCAATATAGTGTAGTAGATAATCTTACGCAGCCCTTGCACGGTGCCTCAGCATACTCAGAGTAGTCGATACTCAGAATACTGCAATTCAAAAGCGCGTGTAATGCTCGTCAAATGCCCCGATCAGTTAAACGCTTGGATAGGAACTTTATATTTATATGTGACCATTTTTACGTCTTTATTATTTACGTGTTTCTATTTATGGCTTATGTATTTATGCCTTCATAACTGAGTTCGAAAAACGAGAAAGATCTAGATTCAACAAAATGCTATGTGTTTTTTTTTTGTAGAGTAAGGATGAAAACGAGTACACATTACACCTGATGGTAAGTGGATTTTGTGGCCCATATAAATCTACGTCTATCTCGTTTAAGAATCTAAATGCATGTGCGTTATCACCCCTAAAAATTTAGATGGAATGCTTTGTTTTCAGTAAAAAAGGTCTCCGTTTCTCTATACTCACCGTACGAAACAGGAACATTAAACTGTTATTTTACGCTGGTATTCTGTGACAGCTTGGTCTTACCCTGGTTGAGCTCACCCATTTGTGCTACAACCATAGTATAACTGCAGCTTGGCTCTACCACGTATAAGATTCATATGTGGTAGAGCAACATATATACATGAATTTGACGTTGGCATTCTGTGACAGCGGGGTCCACACCCGGTCGAACCGACTCATTCGTACTACAACAATAATTTTACTGTATCGACGTAAATATATCATTTCTTTCTCTATACCATTAAATTACATATATTTTCAATTATGGTGGTAACAATTTAAAAAAGTTTCGCTGCCTATTTTAAGCAGAACATAAATGTTAATTAGAAGCAAAGTAAGGTATCTATTAAACTCCTAGACACAATTAGTGGTGGAGCTACAGCACTTGGATGCGCAATTATGAAATTACGCTATACAATTGGACTATTTCAGGCACCATAGGGTAATTATAAAGTATACCTTATACGGGATTGACGCCATAGGCAACAATTACGCGAATTTTGAGTATTAACTCATATAATTATTTATTATTTTAATTAAATAAAACCAGTTTCAATTAAATAATTCATTGGAAATAAACCACTTTAAAATTAATCAAAAAAATCAGGATGTCATCTGCAGGATCAGTGAATTAACGATAAATAATATTATGATATATAAATTTTAAAAGAGGTATTATACAGGTTGTCCCAGTAATTGTGGATAATCTGGTACATAAGTGTTGGGGGGAGTAGGGGGGAGGTGGCCTCGGTTACCTTAAAAAATTCTACCCCGAACGGCCCGCGCTCTACGCCATGTTTTATAAAATTCCAAAAATTCGTACTGCTGCTCACATTTCCGGTCATCACGTACACAGTTTAATGCCTAGATCGGATTTTTTTCTTTTAATGTGTTGCCTAATAATGATGTTCCTAAATTACCCTTAAAAATTTTCAACTACTATCGGTAGTATTTTACAAGACTGCACTAAACATAAGTTTAAATTTTTTACTTTATTTATCTGCTAAGTTTGAGCACCTGTGGTGAAAAAAAAACTTATGGGATCTGTATGGCCAACCATTTAAAAAGTTTGCCTACATCAAGAGGATTCTAAAACATTAGCATACTATCTACTTAATCATTACTTACTGAGCTATAGCCGTCAATGTGTAAAAGTAGGCATTTCATTACAAAATTACAAAATTATTGGCAGATAGTTTTTTTTTACATTGCATGTCTTTATTAGGTAAAAGTAAATCTGTCGCCCTTGAAACTTTAACTTTACTACCTGCTCGCCTTGTTTGGACGAATTCTAAGCTGTGTGAGCGAGATAAATAGTAAAACTTGACATGTTTTTATATGTACAGCTATGAAAATATGGTTTGTACTGATTTCCATTTGTTAAGGATGCGTAAATTAATGAAAAGAACATGAGTTATATCCATTTTTTTTATTTAATCACATAACTACTGTGATATAGGTAATGTGTCAATGAAATAGAGACGTGTTGATGCTTCTATAACTTTAATTATACTGTTCTTATCCTACCTTAACACTAATATATATATATATATATATATATATATATATATATATATATATATATATATAGTCGAGGGGGCTATACTACACTAAATGAATACATTTGTTTTTTTTTTAAACTTATAAAAATAAATATAAAATATGTTTATTATTAATATAAATTACAAAAATACAATGTAATTATGTATTATTTGACCTAAATGTAAATTACAATAAATAAAATATAGGTATATTCCATGGGTAGTTCGGGTGGCCAGATCCCTCTACACCATCGTAATTTCAAGGTCACAATATAATTGGTATGATGTATCATGCATACATACAACATACTTATTTGACATAATTAGGTAATTCGCGAAGTTCTAGTATAGTTGTACATTCATTAATTTTTTAAAATACTCTTCTCTTATTTATTTATTCACATTTTTTTATCTCATTCCTTATTTTTGATTGTTAGGCCTTTTTATTATCTTCTTTTTTCATAATTCTTGTACGTACTTTTTTTCTTAATTTTTTTTGACCTTTAGCTAGCTTTATTTCTCTCTATTCACTTATATATTTATTTATTATTTAGATACCGGGAATCGGAGTATTAATTCATTTTATTTATATATTATTTCGTGATATTTATCACGCGGGTACTTTACACATATGGGCCCCCCATTTACTTGGTATTATATTACTTTTTCATAACATTTATTTCATTTTATTGGTACATAAACTTTTTTTTTCATCATACTATATCAAGGTAATAGTGTACCTTGGGTTGTGAGCATAACCTTGAGGTCTACGTTTAAGTCATTTTAAAAAAGACTCCAACAATTGTCACGGAGGAAAACTAAGTTCACACTATGATCCAGTGAAGGATGTGACCTCTATGTACCATTATTAAGGGTAACAATATTTAACCTCCTAACCCCTGGAGGTATCAAATGTTTTCGAATTCGATGAAACCTGGTAGATTTATTTAAAATGGTCCTAAAATGACGGGAAAAATAATTAAAAAAATATTTGATGACATTTAATGGGTTTTCTAGATGTCCTACCTAAAGGACATTCGGTGTCAATTCATTATCTATGTATAGTACTTTAGGGGTGAATTAAAGCAAATCACAAAATTTTAAAACGTATTTTTATTTATAAGAAGTTCTTACGTCATCAGTCTAATGGTACAATATGTATTTAAATTCTCTCATAACAATAAAAAAACTAAGTTTGAAGCAACTTCACAATACAACTAATTATGAAATTCTGCAAAGCAGTTTCGGCCCTTAACGAGGCACAAATATATGTCACAACAAATACATTTAACTGTGCTTTTCATTTTGCAACCCTCTTTTCGGCAGCGCATTTGAGAATCTGTGTACTCTGGCAAATGCAATGCTTTCCTGTTCTTTTTAGCAGGCAGAGGTTTTATATCAACTCGGCGTTTCTTATGTGCTGGTGCTAAATAGTTTTCTAAACTGCTATCTACTTCTTCTGTTGGTAATGGGGGACAGTTTTTTGTAATTAACTTTTCTTCTAAGTTGAGTTTATATTCTCTCAACTGCTCAATCTTGTGGCGCAGAACGCCTTTTGTACGTTGACGGTCGCGGTACAATAACCAGGAATTAGAGACGGCTAAATCTAACATGTGAAATATGAACCGTATGGTCCATTTTTTTGTTCGACTTCTCGCTGGACAAACAGCAAGTAACCTGTCGGTGAGATCAACACCGCCCATGTTAGAATTATAATTTTAATGACCTCAGGTCTTCTGACATTTTGGTATTGTTTGATTCGTTTATTCCACCTAGAACAGGTGTCACACGCAGTATCCGAAAAACAAGACGATATCATAAGAACTGGCTATTTCATGATGGCTAATTTTCCATCAGCTCTACATTTAACCTCAGTGGTGCCCCTAGGTTTTTTAATAAAATCTTTGTCGTCGGACAGAGTACATCCTTTAGGTACCCTATTATTCATTATTGACCCAGTGCTATTGAACCCTCTCAAATGTAGTTCATTCAAAAGCTTTGTTGTGGAAAAATATCTGTCAAAGTACAGGTAATGACCGGGAACTAACGATTCACTCAATCTAAGAATAGCTGCTTCACAAAGCGAAAATCCTTGATAGACATAATCTTCAAATGTTTTTTCACCTTGATAGACTACCATGTCCAATACGAGCCCATCCGGATTTGCAGCAACAAAAACCTTTAACCCTACGGGGTTTGGTTTATTTGGACAATATTGTTTTAATCCACATGTCCCAGTAAAAGGGATTATCATCTCATCTATTGAGATGTGCTCCGATCTCTTCTGACGAAGACAACCTTGTAAAATTCTTCTTTTGACTTTCCATAGCCTGTTCTTTTTCTCTTCATCAGTGACGTCAATATCGCATACAACTTTTAGTCTTGTTCTGATGGTATAAAATCTATCCCGAGTCATTGCATCCGCAATCAAATTAATTTTCCACTTGCGATTCCAATAACGATCTATCTTGGGATAATTAATAGCTGCCATGACTAATGAAATTCCAAAGAATACCTTCAGCTCCTCTATAGTAAAATCCATACTTTCCTTTTTTTAGCACGTTTGTCTGGTTGGTAGCCATAACCATAGTCTCTAAAATTTCATTATCGATGTAATCATCAAAAAAATCATACCATTCCATGCTAGAAATGTCTCGTTCCACATAGTTAGGGCTGTGCATTGGGTGGATCGTTGGTTCAAACGAGTCTCTTTCCCAAGCATCCGTTAAGTTTCGGGAGCCTGTAGCTGGTCTTCTGCCTCTACCTTGTCTTCCTCTACTTCGTCCACCTCGTCCTCGCAAAGAACCTCTGATACGTGATCTAGAAGCTCTCCCACGCCCCAAAATTGAGGATGAAGGAGAAGGAATTGGTATATTTGGAGACTCAGTGCGTTCTGGCTCTGAGAAATCTTGATTTTCGCTAAATTCGTCAGAAGGTGAACTTGAACAATTACGATTATGGTTTCTTTTATATGTTGGGTCATCTTCGGAGTCATCCGACGAGAAATCGAACTCTGAATCGTTCACTAAATCTAATACTGAAAAGAAAAAGGAAACATAAATTACAACGAATGTCATATGTGTAGGACATCAAATTAAATAAATAAACTCAGTATACGACTGATGTCATATGGATAGGACATCAAAAAGTACGGTTATGTAGTTAATTAAAAAAAGAGGTTAGATCAAAAATAAGTCTCATTTACAATTAATTAGTCCCAAATCTTTAGAAAACAAAAATAGTAATTGAAAAGTCATGAGAGATTTATATAATATTCATTGATTGCTTACTTTGTTGGTCCCGCAAATTTCGGCACCTGCGTTGTTCCTCCATTTTGCAGCGAAAGTGTCAATTGAGAACTGTTAAAATATTTTTTTTTCAGAGTTGCGTTCAAAAACAGTGACACCGTGCAGAAAAAAAATTAAAAAGATAATGTGTACGTCCATGAGATTTTTTTTAGTTGATGTCCTATGCATAACCCGCGAGGGGTCAGGAGGTTAAGACTTCTCTGGTCCCCAACAGTACTAATATGAGTAAACTCGTTCACATCTCACTTGTACTGAAGGTATTGTTCCCTAGTACCCGTTACACCCGATTTTATCATCCAATCACGGAAACATACCCTGCTCGAGGACTATATGCTTTACCAGTGATGGACGTTCCCGTATCTCTCCATTATTTATTTATGCAGGTCAACTTTTGTTTTCTTTCTATTTATTTCTTTACATTTATAGTATTTATTAACCATTATTTAATTGAACCATAATTTTCACGTACACGGCTCGCGTACATACATGATTAATATTATGGATAATATTCTTATACAATTCATAATAAATTCTAATGTTCCTCACTAACAACCCATTAAAACTTATTCCGCATTTAATAGTGTCAAAACCACCTTAAAAATTAATCGTTTATTAGGTTTTCCAAATTCTCAGCTGATCAAGCTGATTGTATGTGGATATGCTAACCTCCGATAATTTTTCTTTACCTTACTCTCACACTTAGGTACACACTATTAATATTTTTTATTTATAATTACGTATTCCGTAACTTAGCCAAACATTTACTCACATCTTTTACAAATTTATATCATAAAATTGTCTCGTATAATATTTAGTTACATCGTTGTCGGTCAGGGATTGAGGCTCACAATATGGGTACAATAAAATTTAAATTAATTAATTGTATACATAATATCATTGAGTTTCAAAATCGAATTAAACGAAGTAATTATTTTCATAATCCACAAAAATAGGTTAGATATAGGTAATGTGTCAATGAAATAGAGACGTGTTGATGCTTCTATAAATTTAATTATACTGATCTTATTCTACCTTAACACTAATATATATATAGTAAAGGGGGCTATACTACACTAAAATACATAGTATGCTAATGTTTTAGAATTCTCATGGTGTAGGCAAACTTTTTAAATGGTTGGCCATACAGATCCCATAATTTATTTTTTCACCACAGGTGCTCAAACTTAGCAGATAAATAAAGTAAAATATTTAAACTTATGTTTAGTGCAGCCTTGTAAAATACTACCCATAGACTTGAAAGCTTTTAAGAAGTTTTTAGGAACATCATTATTAGGGAACACATTAAAAGAAAAAAATCCGATCTAGGCATTAAACTGTGGACGTGATAACCACAAATGTGAGCAGAAGTACGAATTTTCGTAATTTTATAAAACATGGCGTAGAGCGCGAACCGTTCGGGGTAGACTTTTTTTTTAGTGAACCGAGGCCACCTCCCCTCCCCCCCAAACACGTATGTACCAGATTATCCACCATTACTGGGACAGCCTGTATATTTGTATCTTGTTAACTGCAAACTTTTTGCAGTTTGTAATTGATGTTTCTATGAATATAACATATACGTCAATTTTAAATATATGTAAATATCATTGAGATATAATGTACTACGTACTAGAGAAGCTATTCCGAACAAAAACTGTGCACTACTCTATGTCTTCGCGCATGCGCAGTAAATAGTACAGTCGCGCATGCGCGGTTTTTGTCATCATAGATTATATACGTAGGTAGAATGATCAGTATGTAATAAGTAAATGTTTATTTAGATTGTATTGTAAATTTTATCGAGTACAATTTTTTAAATTGTTATTTATATTGCATAACGTGTTAATATAATGTAACATAAAATTATGTCAGAATTACATTTTAATTATATTTTGTTTAATACTTTAAAAGTTAAATATGTACAATATAAAAATATGCATTTATTTTCAAAGATCATTATTATTACTTTTCTAGCATTCTATAACGTATTTATACGCAGCTGGTGAATAATAGTGTAAAATCAATGCGAATTTATGTAGAGGTGCATGCAGTGTATAATTAATAATGCGTGCTCTGTTTATTCTTTTTCGTTAAAGATTTATGTTACTCCATAACTTCTGCTTTACCCATTAAATCAATCTCAGTATTTAAGTTGAGACCGAATTTATGTTTCAAATTTTCTACAATTGATTTTTAAGAAGCACATGTTTTCTTTAGATAAATATTTTGTCTTAAATTTCTCAGTAAGTTTCTTTCTAGCTGCAGATTCCTTGCTATTAAATACAAATACAATATTACAACGTTATATTTTATTCTTTTTATAATTACCTAGAATTATTGATTCAGTTATTAAGGTAGAACTATATTTAAAAGCTTAGGCTTCGTATACATCACTCAAACTTAGCTTAGGAGACATCACTTGCGTAATTTATTTTTAAGTACAATTTTGCTCGGACTATCTAAAATTGAATTTGTACTGCTTATTGATTCAGACAACGGTTCTGATACTTCCTGTTCACTACATTTTGTTGGCTGAAAAAAAAGATACTAGTTATTTGGGAAGCCTGCAAATATTCTAGTGTTACAGTATTAAAAAACCGTCATATACTAGAATGACTCGCGCGCCGAGGTTTCCGCCTCTCTGAAGTCCCGTAAATTTACTGAACATTACAAAACATTCGTTCGTCGTCTAATCAAAAAATAAAACATAAATCCCAGCAATGTTATATAGTTATATAATTACATTGTCGCATGGTACTGCTTATTTCTTGAAGTACACTCTTCCTGTTTTTGCGGTGTATTTGTCATTTTTTTTTAACTGCACGGAAATTGCAGTGAAGAAACGTGAATAATTTGACGTTTCTTCACTGCAATTCCTCTGAACAAATTTGATCCATGATTGTTTTGTTTCATGACACAGCCGAGGAAACCATTAAATAAAAATAATAATAAAAAATATTAATTTTAATGCATTAACATTTCCTACAGTGATTATATATAAATATTTTACTGTTCATAATTACTTAACATTATACGTCGATAGTGTCAAGTCTGCGCATAAAAATGTTTTACTCTTTGACATTCACGTATACGTTGCAGTTGATAAAATATAATTAAATTAAGCGTGTTTTAAAGATAATAATAAGTTTAAATTACTGGTGAAAATTCACTCCTTGACTTTTCCTTATATTTCTCGAGTAGCTTGAACAGTATCTCAATGCACACGAAGGCATATTAATTTAAAAATAATTCTTCACTCTAACTTTTCACGTTGCAACAACCGCTTGACACAGACTAAGTGAGTTTGAGAGCGCGCACTCTAACGCGTGTTACAAACAATTGAGTTGAGGCGTCTTCTCTAGTACGTAGTACATTATATCTCAATGGTAAATATTTAATATTGTAATGTATTAATGATATCTAGTGTTGCAAGTACCGCCTAAAGTTAATGAGATTTGTTGATTGTTATCCAATAAGAATACTGTAAGGCCCACTCGCTGGTTTACTATCTACAGCCTTTTATGTCCAGCACGTGCACTCATGTGTTAAAACGGGGTTAACAATAGTTCGCAAGACCCGCAACGAATCAAATCAGAAAAGTGTGCAATAAAGCTAGATTTAGCAAAAATCTTAAAAGTTATATGTGTGAAGACAGCGAAAATATATTTCTAATAATTAAAATGCAATATTAAGTTTAAATATGTATATTCGGAATATTGAATATTATAGTATAGTTAACGCATAAATTGTCTCTAATAATCTAAAAATTTATTAAAATTCTGTTTAAAATATTCAAAATGTATTTTAAATTATATAAATACAAGTCGATTATATTGCAATGATAAAGATAAATAACATTTGTGATATAATAGAAACAATGGATCAAATTTTTCTAAGTTGATGGTGGTCTTGTAATAATCAGAAAATTTCTAAGTTGACGAAGGTGTTCTTGTAATGTTCCCTTATATGGGGGCGTTGCCGGAGACACATACCCAAGGTTGTACATATATATGGGGTGGTCGGCTGATCGACTGCTAGTAGTAAGGTTGCACAATGACTAGTCCTATATTAAGGACTTATTATAGTAAAGTCTAACGAACCAAAGCATTAATATAGAAGGTCTCTATGATGCATGAGCATTATATTAGCAGAGTTATGACTTGAAGTCCCATATGTATAAGACATACAATAGTATGGCCTATGAAATAAAGCAAATATGTGGAAGGTCTTAAATGGGACTTGAAAAAGATTATTAATGTGGCGTGTAGGTTGCTTCACAGCCTCCGAGACCGAGGTAAACTTGGACTCGCTAACCTATGTGTCCTAGACATATCATCTTAGTGCCGGTGGTAAGTGGGTTTGTTGTAGCAATACGACTTGCCCGTGGACATCGCACATCCCTACCGTTTGTGGCCGGCGTCTTAGCGCATAGCCTTATGATACGTCTGCTATCTTTCGGATTAGGGTGAGCGTGTTTGGTAGTACTTTTAAGTGCAGCAAGCATATTCAACTCCATGTCTTAGTGCAATAGCGCTATGATACGTGGAGTTTTGGTTACTGAAGTCTTAGTACCGTGCTACTATGATACGTTGGTGGTATTTTTAGTTAACAACATTATCAATTTTGTTACCAAAGTCGATGTGGATCATGTGGGTGTGTTGTGAGGGAGCGCCATCCGTATGATAGTTGCATTGATGCTTACTGCTACTTGCAGTATTGCGTCTTGTGATGGATCTGCGTGTGCTGCACCTAATTCGACGCATCTTGTGATTCTAGTCGATGGAGATATGCGGGTGGTGATGTCTGCTGGGGCTCTATGGGAGACCTTGGGATGGTGTAAGCTCGACGATAGTCGTATTGATGCTTGTTCCGTTCTGCAGCATTGCGTCTCTGCGATGGTTGTTTGGCGGGTCGCTATTCTCAATGGCGCTCCCTGCGTCTTGGTTTGACTCACAATCTTAGTAGCTTTGCCCAAGTCGAGTCCCTTTATTACGGGGCTGCAGACTGTCTGTCCTCCATGATATT